ATTGGTTGTTTCGGATTCGGGGGAGAAATTCCTCGAACCACTGACTGTGTATGACTATCTCTTTGCCCCTATGGGGTCTTTTGAATATAACGATTACGATTTCGGCTACGTTTTGACTGTTTCTAGCGATTTCGTGACTGTTAACAACCAATCTAACCTCGATTTCGATTCCCGAAATGATCCTCAAATCATACCTGAGTCCGATGAACGCGTTAGCGGAAACGACGGAGATATCGACAACACGTGTTGTTACAGTTCTGGGAGCGAGGAGCCAGTCCTCGAGTGTCAAGGAACACCAGTGACAATCAATTTGGACTTTTCAGATTCAGAATTGACACCAGAAGAATCGATTACAACGCTAAAAGAGGAAGAGATTACAGAGGTGTATTTGAGGAGAGGAAAAATGTTACCCTTAGGGACGTCTCTAATGGAAAAAGGAAACAAGCAGTTGCTTCAAACGAGCCACCTCCAGCAATAGAAGAGACACAGATTCGAGAGGAAACCGAAAGCTCAAACAAAGTGGATTACAACGTATTAGTACATCTCAGGAAGTTGTCAGCCAAACTAAGTATTTTCGATGCTTTGATCCTGTCAAAGGAGATGAGAGAATCTCTGGTCAAGGCTCTACTTGATCCGGAAATCTGCTTAGCTCAGTTGGCTAGCACGTCCTCGGATGAGGTTTGTTCGTTGAAGGATCAGCCTGGAGTAACTTTCACAGATCAGGATTTGTTGCTGGGTACTACTGACCACAATAGACCACTCTACATTTCCGTTAACATCGGCAGATTTGTGTTATCCAAAGTTTTGGTAGATCCAGGAGCATCACTCAACTTGATGAGTCTACGGACGTTAGCATATTTGGACTTCGACGTTCAAGAGCTCATCCCCGATAAAATGATGTTAAGAGGATTCAATCAGAAAGGAGAAAGAGCTTTTGGGTCGATTACACTACTAATGAAGGGAGAGCTAGTAACAACCACTAAATTCCATATCATCGACGCGGAAACTTCGTTCAACGCTTTGCTCGATCGACCGTGGATTCACGAGCTTAACATGGTTCCATCATCTCTGCATCAGTGCATCAAGTATTGTAAAGAAGGACAAGAGAATTGCCTCAAAGGGGATTTACAACCATTTTCAATTCATGAAGTAGGCATTCACGAAGGCGCCGCCTACTATGTTCCTCCGAAGAAGACAGTCTTTTCTCGAGAAGTTGTGCCACATAAGACTGAAGATTCAAAGGAATCACAAGAGCAAGATTATTCAGCTCCGCTTCGACAATCCACTGCCACTCCTCCGCAACGAGTTGGTAGGGGTTCTTCTACTCCATGG